CAGCTGAAGGAAAGTAAGGGATCTCAAGAAAAGAGAAGTGAAGTTTTAATTGCAAATCATGGACCAAGTCACATAGCACTTCATGCTAAGGGCATTAAGAAGTTAACAGATTGTTTTAAATGAAGGGAAACGTGGGGTGTCGGAGTGGCTCAGTCACTTGAGCTTCCGACTTCAACTTCGGCTCAGGTCATGATCTCACAGTTAGTGACTGAGCCCCGCATCAGGCTCTGTGCTAACCGCTTGCTCTGAGCCTGGAGCCTGCTTCAGATTCTGTGTCTCCTTCTCTCTCTGCCCCTCCCCTGCTCACGCTTTATCTCACTCTGTTTCTCAAAAATAAATCAATGTAAAAAAATTTTGAAAAAAAACCTTAAAAAAAAATGAGATGAGGACACAATGCCTAGATGCTTATGTTGACTTTTTGCTATCATATATAACTGTGATTCTGCTATACTGAAATAGAGTATAGAGAAAGTATCAAACTTTCAAAAAATGAAATGCTTGGTATAAATAATACAAGCATTAATACCCATATACTTTGAGAGTAACAACTATTCTCATGTTACAACTTTTTAAACTCAGGCACAGAAACATTAAGTAACTTACTCAGGGATACAAAGCTGGCAGAGAGCAAAACAGATTTGCACACAGATCTTAATGATCCAAACTCCATGCTCTAATCACTGAACATACTCAGGGCAATCCCTGTACCCTGTTTAGCTAAAAGCACCATGAAGTCAGGAACTATGTCTATCTTATTCATCATTGTATCTCTGAGGCCTATTAGAGGGCTTACCCAGGTCTCTAGGGCTCTATAAACTCTTGAAGACATACGTAATTTGTTTGTGTATGCAAATAGAATTTCTCTAGAGAGAAGGTCAATAAAAACAGGTGACACTTATTAACAACTTACTGTAAATCAAGTAGTGTTTTAGATGCATTATCTCATTCTATGAAAACAACAGCAGCAACACAGAATACATAGTGGGTACTTAATGTATGCCAAATCATTGTTCTAAATGTTTTCATGTATTAACATATATAATCAGTATACCAATTCTATAAGATAGGTATTATAATCCCATACACTTCAAAAATGAAAAAAGATGGACTTGCCCACGTCCCCTCCTCCCTACTCCCCTATTAGTAAATGGTAGGGCAGGGATAAAAACCTCTCTACATGAAACAAAGCCTTCTTTCTTGGCTTATATGTCGTGAGTTGGTCATCCTCAAAGACTTTCATGTCCATCAAAATGTTAAGAAAAATCACAAAAAAAGAAAAAGACAATGAAGTCCTTATGCATTTTCCAGAAAACCATCTTGATAAAACCAATGGTTTTCATGGCAACACAACATCAGAGGCTATGAGCTAATTCTCCCATGCAGAGATCATACTGTGCCATTATGTATTAAATATAAGTTAAGAAGTATAGGCAATAGGGCAGATCTGTTCTTGAAGGTGTATCCATAATGAATGGGCACAATAGTATTGAGTTACAAAGGCACTTAGTTTCACGAGCACATCTGTATACATACAGCTCCCAATACATCAGGAGCAGGGTTTCTATGAGCCCTTACAGACTTGTGACTCAGAAAAGTACCTTCCCTAGGTAACACTCAGATGAAAGCAAAGGAACATATTTTGGCCGGCAGGGTGGGATCAAGGTTTCAGTGCTCACGTCCCCTTCAGTTGGTTATCCCTGTGCAGTGAGCAACCCGATGACCCCGTAGAGCAGCCATTGTTACTCTCATGGCCTAGAGCCATGGAGACTGGATTTGAATCCCCAGTTTTATCACCTGGACATGTGTAACTTTAGTGGAGTTTTTAAATGTCTCTGTGCTTCATTTTTCCCATTTGAAAATGGGGACAATATTAGTATGAACTACAGAAATTTGTTTAAAGAATATACGAGAAAGAAAAAAAACGCATATAAATAACTTATAACAGTTTATAGCACATACTAAGAATTCAGTATTAGCTAAATATGTATATTACACATACATATAAGTATATATTATATATATTCTTGATATTCCTAAACAAGTTGTCCAGCTGTAAGAGTAAGCCATTTTTGAAACACTCCTTGTGTCTGTGTATGAGCTGATCAATATTAGCAGGTGACAGTTCCTATGTGGAGAGCGAACACAACAGATTCTACCTGAAGGTATCATTGCACATCTGGTTATTTTGTTTGCATCTATAGCTTAAGGATCTAAAGCTATGATATCTCGTCTAAAATTGAGCTTTCATTTCCAGGAGTGTGAAACCTCTTTAACGAAGGTGGCAAACATGTAAGTCAAGAGCCAAAAATCCCAACAGCAGCTACAAGGCACACCAGAGCCACATGTTTGTGACCCAGGAATTCTTACTTACCATGTATCAGCATCTCTAGCCATTTAGTAAATGGAAAGATAGTAGCAAATGCAGTGGTATCATTTACAAGCTCAAAATGAGATGGTATTTTGAAATGCAGTCAAGTCCTTTTCTACTTGCTTATATTTTTAAAACAAAATTCTCAAGCTCTCCAAGTCAGATGTTCCAAGACTGGTTTATATAATTTCCAAATTCTAAAACTCCAACAAGGAGAAATCAATTTTTCTATCAGATTGGCAACATTTTAAACACACCAATATTATCCAGTGTTGGCAAGAGCATAGCAAATACGCTGTGGGTACTTAAGAAGTTTCCTTGCAATATCTATTGAATTTGAAGTGAACATCCCCCTAGAGCCAGCAATTCTCTTCTCAGAATAAATCTTCTGCAGTACCCTTCCAAAGATAATGTACACAGACATTCACTGCATCACTATTTGTAAGATCAAGGTTTCAGTCCTCACTTCCCCCTTAGGTGGTCACCTCTGCGCAGTGAACAACCCTACGACCAAGTGAATATTCTGTGATATGGTGGCTGGCTACACTGGGTAGATACATTAAGAAAAGAAGAATCTTCATATATTGACAGAGAAATATTTGATAAATATTAACTGAAAAATAAACTTCAAAACACTAGTATGATATTGATATGAGCCATTAGCCAATCTTTTGCAATAATGAAAGAAAAATTCCTGTGGTCCCACACATGAAGGGACACAAACCCAACTATCAATGGCAGTTACACATATGAAGTGGAATAGGGAAGGGGGTTCACTTTATACTTTACTATAATATTCATGTTGCTTTATAAGCAAGTCCTATTTTCAGAATTCACAGAAATAACAAAAAATTCCAAAGAAATGGGGCACTCAAAACCAAAAGTATTTGCATGATGGTATTAAAAAAAAAAGCTTAGCAATCTCCCCAAAATTTGCACTGTCCCATATGCTTAGATAACAACTACAGAGTAAAAGACTTAAAAGATCTTAATAGACCCGTATAGTACTTTAAGCATTGTACTACCCTCCTAAAGCATGTTGAGAAAAATTACATATTTGCAAGCCCATAAATGGAGCTTAGGAGAAATGGAAAGAGAACAATGGCTCTCAATTTCCATTCCAGTTTTTTTTTTTTTTAAAGTAATCTTTACACCCAATGAGGGGATGGAACTCAGGACCCTCAAGACCAAGAGTCACATGCTCCACCAACAGAGCCAGCCAAGAACCCCTCTTCTCCACTTTGAAAAGAGAAAACTGAGTAGTTTAGCAACACTCACACCTCTGTCTCCTCTTCCCCCAGGGAGGAGCCAACCCTACTGGGCCACTGACTTCAACACACAATAATATATCAGGTGGCTTGATGATGTGTCCACAAAAGAGGAAAAACAGAGAAAGGTGTGGTGAGAGGGTGGGAACTGCGGGATTATTATGTAAAAGTAGGGATAGCAGGAGAGGAAGAGTATTTTAATGAGGAGTAAATGTTTGTGAAGAGGGAGAAGATACAGATAAAACGGATGGAAAAGTGGGAAAAGGAACAGAACAAAACCAGGAAATGTTGCTATCTATGAGGTGGTAAGCTTTCAGGACAACCGTTTAGGTTTAGAGCTTCTGTATTCTGTGCTCTCCAGCCCTTGTTGTCAAATGAAAGTTTACTGAAGACTGCAGGTTGGAGACGGGTCCTTGGACTTTTTGAGCAAGCCTTAGTAACAGGCTCATCAGGTATGAAGCACATACTATATTCAATTCAAAGATCACATCACGTGCTGGCTTATTCTCCTTAGACACGGAAACACTCAAATGGCGCAGTGTTCAAACAAGCTTGCAAGGGATCTCTGCCCAAAGGAAGCAAAATTGGTTTAGATAGAATTTTGTATATTCATGTACATATATAGTTATACCTATCTATAGTTATAGATAGATATTAACTACAACTATTGATATATATTACAGATAACTATAACTATAGTATAGATTATCTATAGTTGTATCTATAGATCTATAGATTATCTATAGTTATATCTATAGTTATAGATACAACTATGTATGTATGTTTCCCATATAATCTCCCAGCAGCCTCACCAGAAGATGCCCACACCCCAAACGTCTCTATGGGAGAACTGAGTGAGACTGGAGCAAGGCGTTGGGATGATGCTCCAGGACCAAGCACCTCCCCACAAACCTCAGGGGCCCGTAGATATCCATTTGCCCTGGCCTTGCCCCAGGCCAAGGTGGGGGGGGGGGAACAAAAACAAAACTCCACCGAAGCCCCCGGAGACCTGGCAACCATGTGACCCGCCGACGACACCAAAGCTTTGTCTCCCAAACAAATCCAACTTTTCTTTTACTTTTTCTGGGTGAGCGGCTTGCGCGTGCCCCCCACCGCCCCTCCTGCAACCCTTTCTTCTTCCCTCCACCGCAGGCTGGGGGAGGCCTCGAGGTATCTCCTTTCATCCCTGCCTGGCGCAGGAAGCCCAAGGCTCAGCCGCTCGCGGGCGGGCGGGCGGGCGGGCGGGCGGGCGCCCCTCCTTCAGCAGCCCGAGGGGCCCCGAGACTCCTCCCGCCCGACACCGGCCGGGGGCGGTGGACTCGGGCTCGGCCCCCGGCGCGCGCGGCGCGGGCAGAGAAACTTACCTGCGCGGAGGCGCTCCCGGAGCTCCCGCGTCGCAGTCAGCTGCGCCGCAGCCGCCGCATCTCCCGGCGGCACGTTCCCCCCACCCACCCCAGCAGCGGCGTCCCGTGCCGCACTTTTCCGAGCCTGGGAAGTTGGCTGAAAGCGCGGAGGTGGGAGGTGGGGGTGGGGCTGGGGGGGAGCTGGGAGAGGAGGCTTAAGGATTTTGTGGTTTGTTTGTTTGTTTGTTTGTCTTGATCTCTAGCAAAGACTTTTGACCGTATGCTGAAGGATATTAGTTTTGCTCAATGGCGACAAGGCAGCGGCCTGACTCTCACCGAACGATCGATTTACTAAACAAACTGAAACGTGGGTGGGGATGTTAAACAGTAACCAGCAGCCTCAATGAAAACTGAAAGCGGCGAGGCCGCCACCGCCTCGGCGCGCGCATTTCCCTGTTCCCAAGGCCCCTGGGTGACCGGCGGGCGGGCCAGCAAGCCCCGAACCCCGGCCTCCCGTTGACCGTAGTGGCTCACCGGGGCCTCCCCGAGGCCGCCCGGAGGTAACTGCCACACGCCACATGCCTAAATTCCCACCATCACGGTGAGGCCCTCCAACGCTTGACCGTTTGGAGTCCTCGCCAGCCTCCCGCACTGGGGGAGCCCCACCAGCTTCCGCGCCCGGCCCGCACCGCGGGCACCGTCCTCTACCCGGTCACGCCTAGTCTAGGGCGGTGTCAACCTTGAGGCAGTGCGTTTGGACCGACGTTGGTGGAGAAAGCCTGCTGACCCCAGAATGCAGATATAATTCTGAGCCAATGAGGTCCAGAAAAGGGCCGGAAGTATTATTGAAGGGAACTGAATAGGTTCCTAGGGACAGCACTGCGGCCACACCACTAGGGGAAGCCGCAACCATTTCATTAATCTGCACCTTGGCCGCTGGGGTTAACTTCTGCCCGGATGGTTGTGGCCACCTTGCTCAGCAAGAGTTCTGGGAAGAGGTGGGAGACTAGTTTCCCCTTCCCCTGCCTACCCAGCCACCTGTGGATTCAGTCATTAAGTACCTCTTTACATATGTATCTGATGGAAAGCTTTCTTTCTCCCTCTCAAACCCTAGGCGCCTTCTCAAGCTTTAGACTTCACGAAATGATGCTCAGACCCTTTCGGCACTTGCTGGTCATCTGGGTCAGGCTTTTGTTCACTAGGCAATATAGCCCAAAAGCTGCGGCTTTAAAAAACATCTCAACAATTTAACTTGGTGGTTTCGGGAATGAATGACTTCAGGTCAAACAAGTAATTATCCTCATGAGATAAATAGTTACTTAATCCGTAAGGTTTTTCTTTTCCGACCAGGGGGGTGGCGGTTATTTTAAGACTGTAATAACAATGCCAAGGAGATCAAAGAGCTAGGTATTTTTTTCTTTTTCTTTTTAGATCGGGCTTACAAAACTTTCTCAGTTTCCTCCTTCTGAATCTCTTGCTCAAAGGCTCTTTTAAAAACAAGTAGTTGGTTGTTTTAGAAATCAGAACAAAGGAGAGAAATCATATACTATTTTCTTTAAATCGACCCTCTTGAGCAAAACACATTCTTTGGGTCCTTGTTGCCCACGCCGTGTGCAAACCGAGTCACCAAAGCGGCCTCTGTCCACGTGGGCTCCAGGAAACCGTCCAGAGACAGTTGAGGCAGAAGGGTAACAATTAACGGCTTATGCTTGTTACACAAGTCTTTCATAGGTGTGCTGTTTAAAGATCACCTGTGGACATTCTCCTTATAACTATTCCCAGATCCTTAGTGAATATTGTCATATCATATGTGAAAATATAAATATAGTTCCCACAAAACGCTAACAGTCTGAAGACAAATTCTCCGTCCCCATTCACGGAAGCTTTAATGCTTACCTGACATCCCATCCGTTATTCCCAGCAGAGAAGCCATATTTTAGTTCAAGAGTCTCCGTTTACTTTACTACTAACAATCTGTGATGTGAATGGGTTCGGTTTGGGGTGATCGATTTATCATCGATGTGTAGTAGATTCACTGATCTACCAGGAAATGATCATCACAATGTTCTGTGTTCACAGTTATTTTGACACAACATGTAGAACCTTTGCCAAAGAATTTTGTCACAAGGATTTTGACTAGCGGTGAGAGAAATGACAGTGCAATTAAAGAAGTATAAACTCTGTTAAGACTTAGTTATTATTTAAAGGAAGCACTGCATTTGTTTAATTTAGAAAAATCTCCAAGAGTTTCTGTAGCACGGCCAAACCTCCCTCGCCCACTGCAAGAAGGGGGTGGCTTCAGATGACTAAACAAACAAACAAACAAACAAACAAACAAAAAAGGACCTTAAGAGCTAAAGGCAGGTAGGAGAAGTTGGCTCAGCAGTCTTTACTAGAACAGCCAATGCCAACTGACAAAACTTTAGAGCATCACTTATGTTGTCCCTGAAACTAATTTACTACAAGTTTTCATGGCATGGGTTTATGATGCTGAAAATGAAAAATGTGTTCTACAGAGAGTTGTCCCTGATGCATTGAGGAGGGTGTGGGGGGAACACAATGATAGAGAAGAGATAAGGATAAATGTTAAGGGAAGGGTTCTCAGAAGACAAAGTTCTGTTTCAATATTTAGCGTTTAGAAGGAGACTATACACATGTGTATTTGTCACATCTACTCTTTCAACCTAAAACTAAGCAGAAAATGTAGAGTCAACACCCCTTTACTTCACTTTCCTGTTAAATGTCTCATTTAGCCTGTTCTTTTTCCGCTTGGAACATCTTTTTTAGACCGTTGTCTTGTTTTGTTTTGTTTCTTTTTCCCAGCGGCACCTGATCGTCTTGATAAGAGCTCCGGTTTTTTCCCACGAGCGGTTCTGATACTATTAATTAAAGCAGAAGCCATGGGCAGAGCTCTCAGGAGGTGGGGAGAGTGCCGGCAGGCGCGGGGAACCTCGAGCGGAAAAGTGCTCCAGGTTTCAGCACTCAGAGACCCCATTGCGGAGGGCAGCTCCACTCCCCTCGCCCTGCACATAACACCATCACAGGACCCAAACGGGAACTGCCCTCTTCCTCTCCACCTCTGCTGACCTAGTTAAGCACCAGCCCCTCCACGATCGCAGTCACACCCACACTGCAGCCGGCCACCGCACGCACGGGCGCAATCAGTGGGGATTACCAACCACCCTCACGCGCGTTTGCACCCAGGATATTAAAAAAAAGAAAAAGAAAAAGAAAAAGGAAAAAGAAAAGGAGAAATCAAAAACTCATACAATTCTCCACCTGCTGGTCCTTTCTGGATTTGGGCAAAGCCCAGTGACCCCTTCCAAGGTCCTCGTAATGTAAAGGACCGCGGGCGGGATGTGGCCACGGGGACTCAGGTGAAATTAAAGACTCTGGAGCGGCGCTAAACGCGTCCCCAACAAAACCGTTGAGTTGTGTTTGACCCTGGGGGCGAAAGCACCGGTAAAGCAGCCTACGCCAGAATTTCAAAAACTCCCTGGAGGCCACTGAATGTTTTATGCATCAGAAGAGAAGGCCGGGATTCCGGTCACTGGGACTGGGAGCGGGGGAAGGGCTCTGTCAGCAAGGTCGGGGGTGGGGGTGGAGGCGGGAACAGCCCTGAAGCCAGCGAGGCCTCGGGTGCAGGGCCGCTCGCTGCCCCCGTCCTTTTTAGGGAAAGAACAGCCTTTTTGCTCCCTAGAGCAGCCCAAAGCGAGGGCACAGATCGCCGGAGCTGTAGAGCTGCAGGCTCCCGCCCCCAGGAAGGGGAATGTTGAGCCATTTCATCTCCTCCGACCCTGCACAGTTAGCCTCCAGCTAGGTCTGCGCCTTGGGCCTAGAGCGGTAGGGGATTGTGACTTGGATTCCGGGCTTTGGTACCCTCGTCAGCTATCTGATTTGCCAGACTTTTCATGGAACACCCACCTTTAATGCCTTGAATTTAACGTGGTAAAACAAAACCAGTAGAACAGGCAGACGGAATACGGAGGAGGGATTCATGAGCATCTGTCCAGCATCTGTCCAGCAGCACCAACACCAACACCGTGCAGATAGATCCTAAAAAGCAACTTCCAGAACCTTGCCTGGCCCTTTTGGGGGAGTCAGGTGCTTAAAAACAGTTGGGAAAAGGCATGGCCTCCAGGGCTAGGCACCCTGCTTGGTCACACACTGATCCAGATAAAAATTAGTCTTTATTTTATGCTCAAGTCACAGACCAGGAGCACCCAGAGTAAGCCCTTGTAAGTAAGGCCACAGGAGTGTCTCCAGACTACCTCACCTGTGAACATAAATAAAGCCAACATTTCAGATATAATGTCTAAATTGAAACTGCACTGCTTGTGTTACTAATTTGGCTGAGACACTATGAAAATCCAACCTTAAATGATTCTCAGCATCAACCTTCCAAACGTTTTTCCCCTGCCAAAATAAAAAGCAAACTGCTAGGCTGGATCTCTTTTCTCCACCCCCTCTCTTTGTAGATTTCCTACTGAAGTATTGATTGCCAAGGTCTCTGCAAGATTTGCAAAGTTTTACAGTCATTTATGGTGCATGCAATAAAAAAGAAGTGATATGAGCATGCTAGTTCAAGGTGTAATGCAAAGATGTATTTGGTGCCCTTGGCAACTATCTGTGGGACTTGTTTGTCTTTGCAGAACACGCCCTTCTCTGCAATGAACCCCTCTGTAACAAAGATTGGCCCTTTACATTTCCAAGGCCTTGACCCCTCAGTGGAAAGGCACACGTGTTCAAAGCAGAAAATTTGATTATTTCAACTTCGTTTTAAACCAGAGGAAAAAAATTCTAATCAAAACAGTGGGGCAAAAAGAAAAAGAATTTTTTTAACGTTCCCTACATCCCTACTATCTCTTATCATAAAGAAAAAAAAATCAATTACCAAGTTATAACATAATCTCTAACTGCCCCTTGCAAAACAGGGATCCACGGGTCCTTCCACTGACAGAAAATAAAAGGATTGAGATCATAGAGAGACAACACACTCTTTTAGGTTGTATGTGCCCAAAGGAGGGGAAAAAAATCTCAAACATTTTACATGAGAATACATGTCTAGTTACATATAGATTTGTTGTTATATTTTAGTTTTATAGTTTTTCAATAAAGAAAACAAACATGCAAGAGGGCTGTTTTACTCTAACTGTAGATAGAAGCTTTATACCCCTTTACAGGTTTTACCAGTTCTTTTTTTTTTTTAAGACTATGTGTAGGAGATGAGTGGGAAAAGTAAAAAAGAGTCTAATTTCTAAAATTTCGTACTTTGAACCAAATCGGTTTTCTCATCTAGTGCTGCAAATAAGAATAGCAGACACATAGCTTCTGAAAGGTATTCAGAATCCTATACCTGCCATCTAGTGGGCATAAAAGAAAATGCTGATTGAAGACATCCTTTAAAGTCTCCTCTAGCTGTTTTCTTATTTGTAAACAAAACAAGTCTAAGAAATGAACAAGAAAATTTAAAGCTGAAGGAAAGGA